CCGGCTTGGACCAGACGCGAGCGACACTCCAGCGAATAGAGGCGCTTCTCGCGAACCAGTCAGCAGCTGCCACGGCAGCAGCGAACGCAGCGGCGAATGCAGCAGCGACGTCAGCAGCAGCAGCGGCGACACCAACACTTCACCCAGCAACAGCGGTAGCAGCTAGAGTGAATCTTGAGGCGGCACGTCTGAGGCTACCAGAAAAGTTCAATCCGAATGCGAGAGACACCGACGTCCGTCGATTCATTGTGACTCTCGAAATTTACTTCGAGGCCGTTGGCTGTACGACCCCGACACATGATGCAATGCGGATTCGGCTCGCAGCAACACTGCTACGAGGCCCGGCGCTCGAGTGGATTTACAATAGCAATGAAGTCCGAGGCGAGGGGTCATGGACGCAGTTTCGGGAAGCTTTAATTCAACGTTTCGAACTAATCAACTCTAGCTACATAGCGAGGCAGCAGATTCATCGACATGAACAGTTCGGCAGTCTAACACAGTACACGCAGCAGATGGAAAGCCTCTTCAACCGAATTACCGACCTGACCGAAGGTGAAAAATCCATGCGTATACTGAGGGGCTAAAAATGGAAGTCCGGCGACAGGTGATTACCGCGAACTACAACAACTACCGTGACATGGTGTGTGCAGCGAAGAGATTCGATGCGCTGATGCGATACGAACCCGAGAGACGACGCCATGTGCAGAACCGATCATTTGGCATGGAGCGATCAGCACCACCCACGACCGCCAACCCGATGGATATCGACAAGATCGATGCGAAGCAGCGACCGACAAAATATGAGAAGTGCGAATTTTGCGGCACAGCAGGACATCGACTCTTAGCATGTTGGAAATTAAAGAAGGCACAAGCGGAGCTGCAGGGCAACAACAGTGCGACATCCACGATGGCGAAAAAAGGAGGACACGATGGCGAACAAAGGAGGACACGATGGCGAAAAAAGGAGGACACGATGTCGCGGATTCAAAACGCCACGACCGGCCAGCAACAGGGGAAATCGCCGAGACAAATGGAGGCTCCGCAAAACAAGACTATGCACCGACCGGGAAACTCCAGCCGAACACCCCCGAGAGTAATAATATTCCCTCTCGAGATTTTCAAGCCTTTAAAATATTCAGGGGAGATTTCAAGGCCAAGAAAAAGCCTTCTGACATTATTCAGGTACCTAAGAGGTTGGGCAAACCACTACGGAGCGTTGAAAAGGGTCGTGCGTTCCAAGGAGTTGATATTCTCTCCCCGCAGCACGGTATTAAGGCTCCCCATTGCCCACAGGTGAAGCCTACATAGCTGCAAAGGCTTAGGGGAAGGTTCTAGGCCAAGACGAAGCTAAATCGTCCTCTGATAAATCCTTCTAACCCTACTCAGTTGGAAACTGATATGGAGTCACCAGCTTCGAGAGCAGGACCGAGGGATGATCTATTCGACGTACCCTACGATCCTATAAGCAAGACCATCTACAGATTCTCGGAGCAGCAACAACCACTACTACTCGAGGTGATCTGCAATGGGCGACGCCTCCAGGCACTGGTGGACACTGGTGTGTCCCACTTGGTGTGCGACCACGGGACGTTGGAGAAAATAGGAGAATCTTCGGAGGAGACCAAGTTCACGGCATTGATGGTGGACGGTACAAAACTTCCCATCCACGGCGAAGCATCACTTCAGCTGCACATAGGGGCGCTGAGGTGGAAGCTAACGTTGCCGATCACGAACATCAAGGGATCAGATTTCATGTTGGGGCGAGATTTCTTGAAGCGGTTCAACCCCGAGATCGACTGGGTCAACAGGAAGGCGCGCATCTAGAACAACGGGAAACGAGTGGGGCTGCGAAGCTGGACAGATACAGGGAGCGTTCCTGAAATGACACTGGCACGGTTTGAACGGATAGTGAACGGAGTAACACGTGTTACTTAGCACTGTTTATGACAGCAGCAAAGGAGGAGAAGCCGAGTTTGGAGCTACCGGCAGCAGTGAAGGAGGTCTTGGAGCAGTACAAGAATATAATGCCCAACAACCTACCCACAGGCGTACCTCCAGCACGCACCCACGAGCACGAGATCGTGGAGAAACCAGGTGCAAAACCTGTCTCACGTGCACCATACTGACTGAGTCCGACCGAATTGACAGACATGAAGAAGCAGATAGAGTATCTACTGGACAGACAACTGATCCACCCATCCACCTCTCCCTACGGTGCACCAGTTCTCTTCACTCCAAAACCAGACGGCAGTTTACGGATGTGCATTGACTACCGTGCACTAAACAAACAGACAGTAAAAAACAAATACCCCATACCGCGCATCGACGACCTTCTAGATCAACTGCGTGGTGCAACAGTCTTTTCGAAGCTGGACCTACGGTCGGGTTACTGGCAGATCAAGATGGCGGACAACTCGATCACATCCTACGGCCCCTGCTGGACGAGTGCGTGGTGGTGTACCTGGACGACATTCTCATCTACTCCAAGAACATGAAGGAGCACGTGGAGCATCTGCGGAAGGTGTTCAAGATCTTGCGGAAAAACAAGTTCTACGTGAAGCTGTCGAATAGCAACTTTGCACTAAAGAAGGTGCAGCTTCTCGGGCATATAGTGAGTGCCAAGGACGTACACGTGGACCGCGGAAGATCGAAGCCGTCCTGAAGTGGAAAGTACTGGAGAACGTGAAGGAGTTGCAGCAGTTCCTCGGCTTTGCCAACTACTACAACAGGTTCGTGCCGCAATACGCTAAGATAGCAGCGCCACTGACCAACCTACTGAAAAAGGATATGCCCTATAAATGGGATACTCCTCATCAGCGAGCCATGGAGCAGTTACAGACAGCACTAACTACAGCGCCAGTACTCATTCTACAGGACCCAGACAAGGACTACGTGGTGGAAGCAGACGCTAGTGACCAAGCAGTCGGAGCAGTACTGATGCAGGATCACGGATGCGGTTTGCAGCCCATCGCCTACCTCAGTAAGAAGCTACACGGAGCAGAACTGAACTACCGCATCTATGACAAGGAAGCCTTAGCGATAGTCATAGCCTTCAATGCGTTGAGGTGTTACCTCGAGGGAGCCAAGACTACAGTTTACACTAGTCATTGCTCTCTCAAATACCTGAAGTCTCAGCCAACGCTCTCACGACGACAGTTGCGGTGGGTGGACTTCCTGGAAACTCACTTCCACTACGACATCGTCTACAAGCCCGGGCTACACAACAAAGCAGACGCGTTGAGCCGCCCCGGTCATGTAGCAGGCATCCAGCTCGACGGGATGAACCCTTTGCTAAAGGTTTTGTTCGGGATGCTTCGCGACCCTCCGAACATTCACGTAACATCTGGGTAACTGGCCTTGTGTCGAGACTATATATAGCCTCGTGTTGTACCCAGGTGAATCATTCAATTAAAACTCTCTTTTCTGAGCTCGATCCTAGTCCTCACACATAATGTTTTGAAGCTGGTACTGCAAAGTCTCCCCCTTGTTCTTGGATCGTTTGCCATTACGACCACATGTCAATTTCATATGCTAGTAATTGGTTATTGTGCTACACGCAGCTTCACACAACCCGAGCCACTCACCTTGGTGCCATTATGACCCCCTGCGCAAATGTTCGTCAGGCGAGAGTCCACAACATGAATGGCGTTGTGGTGAATGGAATGCTGGGATGTTGACGGGTTGCAAAGCCACAATAAATAAACATGCACGTTAGGTTGTGCCATCTCTCGCGACACAAGTTACCGGCTTTCGATGTACCTCAAAACCCCCCTTTGACTCTACCGATCTTCTGCTTCTAACGTCACTTCAATCCCCCTCATTGCACCTTCTCTTCACAATTTCTGACCTTACCTCCCTTCCCCCTCTAAGCACCGCTCTTCCTTCTCTCACATCCTTGCCTTCCCCCTTGCCAGCACCTCCCTTCCCGTCTCCCTCCCCCCTCTCTCAGCCCCTCCTTACCGCGTCTCATCGCATCTACTGTCCCACCTCTGACATCACCTCTTTCCCCCTTCTCCTCATCTCCCTTCCTCCTATGACCACCCCACCCTTTCCCCTCTCACAGCACCTCCTTTCCCCCTCACTTGAAACATCCATTCCCCTCTTTGACCTCTCCCTAAACCATTCCCCCACCCTTCACCACCCATCCTCACACATGCTACTAAACAATCAAGATGCGTGAAAACTAGAAACACGGGAAATCGAAGCAAATGACAAGAAAAACAATGGATAGTAAGCCTTCTAATGGTGATGGCAGCGGGGTGGTCAGCGGTATTGATGATGGCAGGGGTTGAAAGAGGGGAATTAATGAAGATAACATGGAGGACCATGGAGATGCATGGGGCAGAGTGTTGTATTTGCTGTGCTTAAATTTTGCTGAAGGTGTACAAGGAGGAAGTTTTGTGGCCAATGAATGAGACAGCCATAATGCAGGTCTTTTAAATAGAAGAGTTGGGCAGGTGATGCCAATAGAATGCAGAGAGTAGTGTTTGCCAACTACAAGAGTCAACTAATCTGTAGAACCATGAACTTACCAAAAAACGGTATGAAAAAGCAAGCCCAGCTCTTACGGACCCATTCAGGGGGTTGACTGGTTCTGTGGGCTTAGCACTAAAAGAGAGCACCTGCCGCACAAAGGAGGAAAGGAGAGAGGGGGGAAAGTGGGCAGGAGCACCTAAAAAGCAACACCATACGCATCCTAAGTGATAAGGATCATGCCATCACATATGTTCCGCAACCATCTAGAGCATCACTCTGTAACACATTTAATGTACCTTAACCTAGGGGTTGAATAGTGTTTGAGACTTTGTAGAAGAGGGTTGAGCAGGCTCTAAATGAATAGGGCTCCAAGTTTACATAATGCAGGGGTCAGGGACGGATGAAACATGCATATCCAAAACTGCTAAGAGAAGGAGGGGAGGGGTTGTAGGAGATAGCGTTTACATCTTTCCTTCGTACCAGCACCTTCTTTCCCAACTCAAAGCACCTCCTTTCCTCATCTCATGGCACCTCCCTTCACCCCCCTCGTGGCACCTCCCTTCACCGCTATCATGGCATATCCGTTCACCCCTCTCATGGCATCTCCCGTCACCCTCCCTAAGCACCTTTCTCCTTGCCATCTAACCTCATCTCCCTTCCCTACCCCTAAGGATCATCGTACTGTTGGGTGCAAATTCACATTGCACAGCATCCTGCCATCTGTTTGTACGAGTATGCTTGTGCGAATGCATTTGGGTGTAAATGGAATGTTCGTATGTTTGTTTGCTTTCGCAATTTTTGCTTGAAGCATTTCCAGGTACTCGCGCAATGTGCGCTTCGGCACAACATTGTACGCGCTATGAGCAGTGCAAGCAGAAAGGACGAGCTCGCAAAGGAACCCAAGATGGAAGCTTTGCGGTTCGGTTGAATTGATTGTGCAGGTTCAGTTCTATCCAACTCGAAATTGTACTGTTTTGTTTGATTGACTATAGTGTAGCAGGGCAGGCACTATAGGGGTACAATTTAGGTGAAGGTTGGATTTTGTTTGTCTGTATCTGCAAGCTACAGGGCCAGGGGAAACCAGCGGAACCAGCATTTGGCTGGTTGGGCAAAGACAAAACAGGTTCTGTTTTTAGGACCTGCACCTGGTTGTTGTTTTCCCAGGTTGGAAAAACAGAACCAGAGGTTGTTTACCAACCTACCACCTGCTGTTTTGTCCAGCCAGGTTGGTTCTGTTGCTTGGAATTATTTGGGATCATCCCCGGTTGTTCCCAGGTTGATTCCCAAGGTCCTTGCTAGCTATACTATGTATTCGTTCTCTGTTTGTACCTGGATATAGTGAAATTGGTTCAAGCGAATTCTTTCCTTGCTAGAATTTCATTTCTACGCGGTGCGACGGCAGAATGCTATCTGAGTCAATGCTAGTATGCTAGCACCCCAGTGCTAGGCAAACGCTGTACGAGCCATAACTCCGTAATGGCAGAACTTTTCGCGAGGCAACTTCGCTCTTTTTTAAGCTCTTGGAGCGAGCTTCGATATTTTAAAGTCGCAGCTTAATCCGATTGACGGTCTGCAAGATACGCTGTGCGACATTCAAGGTGCTCTTGCTATTTTGGCTAAGTCTCTCTTGATCCCTCTCTCTACAAACTCGGACCCGAGGATAGGGGCTGGTCTTGTACCAGGCACCCAAGGACCCTTGGAGGTGACCCCGAGGAGAGGTTTTAAGTCTGATTAAGTCTTAGTAGCTTGAGTTTATTAGGCCCTTACACCAACACGTACCCCTCTGACCTCATCTCCGTTCCCCCTCTCACAACACCTCCACTGCCCCCTCGGACCTCACTTCCCTTCCCCCGCCAAAATCACACATCCTCCTTCTATCACATCAACTCTTTCCAACGTGCCAGCAGCTCCCTTCCTGCCTCCCTTCCCCCACTGACACCGCATATTTCCTCACGGCGAGCACCTCCCTTCCCTCTGAGGGAGCCACTCTCTTCTCCCTCTCACAGCACCTCCCTTCCCCTTCTCAAAGAAGCTCCTTTCCCCCTCTCACAGCCACTCCCTTTACCCTCTCTCAGCAACTCCCTTCCCCCTCTCTCAGCACTTCCCTTCCCCCTCTCACAGCACCTCCCTCCCCCCTCTGTAGGCTCCTCCGCCCCCCCTCTCACGACACTTCCTTTCCACCTCTCTCAGCACCTCCCTTCCCCCTCTGACCTCACCTCCCTTCCCCCTCTGACCTCACCTCCCTTCCCCCTCTCACAGAAAATCCCTTCACCCTCTCACAACAACTCCCTTCCTCCTCTCTCAGCAACTCCCTTCCCCCTCTCTCAGCACCTCCCTTCACCCTCTCACAGCACCTCCCTTCCCCCTCTTCACATCGCCTCCCTTCCCTCTCTCATAGCACCTCCATTCCCCCTCTCACAGCACCTATCTTCCTCCTCTCACAGTATCTCCCTTCCCCCTCTCACAGCAGCTCCTTTCCCCCTTTCTCACCACCTCCCTTCCCCCTCTTACAGCACCTCCATTCCTACTCTCACAGCATCTCCTTTCCCCCTCTCACAGCAACTCCCTTCCCCCTCTCACAGCACCTCCCTTCCCCCTCTCGCAGCACCTCCCTCCCCCCTCTCACAGCACCTCCCTTCCCCCTCTGACCTTACAACCCCTTCCCCTCCCTAAGCACCTCTCTTCCCCCTCTCACATCGTTGCCTCCCCCCCTGCCAGCACCTCCCTTCCTATCATTCCGCCTCTCATTCCGCCGTGTACTCTCATTCCGCCTCTCATTCTGCCGTGTACTCTCGTTCCGCCTCTCATTCCGCCGTGTACTCTCGTTTCGCCTCTCATTCCGCTGTGTACTCTCATTCATACCACTACAGCCATTCCCTCGTAGCTCGTTTGGGCCTTGTCCCGCGCGGGCCTACGATATCGACCCATTACACTGCCCTTCTCTTACCTAGGGTAATCCCCCGCAAAACTGTCGAGCTCACTAAATTCAGGGGGAAGTTCAGGGCCGTGCAAGCTGGTGCAGGGCAGCTCGGCGAGGGCAGTGGTTTGTATGGGAGTGGCTTTGCTATTTTTTTAAACTATGATGAGTGCTTTTTGTGGAATGCTGGTCAGATTGTAGACGCAGTGATGGGAATGGGCATACGATGTCCGGGGTTCCTGCTGATTGACCTCGTGCGATTTTTCTGAGAGAGTTGTAATGTAGGACGTGCGTATAGGTGGTAAAACACTTGGTGAAGAGTGTCTTTTGTCAAGCTGACGAGTTATGTGTCTCATATTTTCGAGCTGGTGTAAAACGCTTGGTGTGCACGCTGGAGATGGCGACGGTCCATTTTTTGAACGATAGCTTATATGACTATAATTTTATTGTGTTAGCCAACCCAACATGCTTTGGCGTATTTGCCCAGCCAATTATACAGCACGTTGCAAACCCAAACCACCCAACCAACACTTCCCCCACCCTGAACTCTTGCCAAGGAGTACTTTGCAACAAAATTGTCAGTGGAGCTACACTGTGAGATCCCCGATCGATCCTAGGGGGGGTTACAGGCGCGTTTGCCTGGGGGGTTATGGGCGCACTGACCCGCTACTGAAACAAGCCCTTTTATCCCAATGGTCTAGTGGTTGGGATTCTGACATGGTATCAGAGCGGTCTCGGGTTCGAATCCCGGTGTATGCACATGTTGGCCGTTGCCACTGTGCTCAGTCCTGGGCCTCCCAGTGTGGGGGGGTGTCAGTAGAGCTACACTGTGAGATCCCCGATCGATCCTAGGGGGGGTTACAGGCGCGTTTGCCTGGGGGGTTATGGGCGCACTGACCCGCTACTGAAACAAGCCCTTTGGATTCTGACATGGTATCAGAGCGGTCTCGGATTCGTATCCCGGTGTATGCACATGTTGGCCATTGCCACTGTGCTCAGTCCTGGGCCTCCCAGTGTGGGGGGGTGTCAGTAGAGCTACACTGTGAGATCCTCGATCGATCCTAGGGGGGGTTACAGGCGCATTTGCCTGGGGGGTTATGGGCGCAGTGACCCGCTACTAAAACAAGCCCTTTTATCCCAATTGTCTAGTGGTTGGGATTCTGACACCCCCACCCTGAACTCTTGCCAAAGAGTACTTTGCAACAAAATTGTCTGTTACCCTATCTCAACTATTTAACACTTGGTGTGACTGAGTAAAATTTGAGACGCGAGCTTTAAACAATGTCATACATTCCTTGATCAGTTTCAACATCTGAATAGATTCTCCTAGGTCTGTCCATCAAGGGCTTGACCTCGACACCACTGTTCAAACAACAAACATTGGTTTGTCATAACATCCTCTTGTGATGATCTGCTTCAGGACTTCGTCAAATTATGTTTCACATATTTACATGATTGTTTATAGGTGTAGTATATATACCAAGTATTGTTTGTGGTGAACCACTTCTTGCCTTGTTTCTTGTATAACTTGGGCATACGGCCCTTTAGTCAAACCTCATTTGCCGACCATTTTCTCGAAACTCTCGCTTTTTGGCCAAAACCCTAGGTTACTAAGCTTTACGTCATGAGCCTATTTTGACATGTTATGAGAGCAGGAAGTTCCAAAGGACCTTCGTCATTATTTCCAATGAGCACACCATCGCACTGCCTGGTATGCACTGCCCCTGCCCGTCATGCTGCCCGTCAGGCATCTGTCGCGCGCATCAGTTTCTGCCCGTCGCGCGTCGGTTTCTGCCAGCCGCGCACCCCGCGTGCCCTGCTGCCCTTCCCACCCCACAAGCCCTGATGCACTGCGCGGCCTACGCGCCCTGCTGCGGTGTGCACCCAGCGCGCCCTGCTGCAGTGTGTGGCGACTGCGGTGTGTGCGGCTGCTCCCCTTTGCAAGCGCATCTGAGATCGATTGGGTCAACCGGAAGTCGTGCATCTACAACAGCGGGAAACGAGTGGAGCTACAAAGCTGGACAGATACAGGGAACATTCCTGAAAAAACAATGGCACGGTTCAAACAGACGGTGAGCGAGAGTAACACGGGGCTACTTAGCGCTGGTTATGGCAGCAGCAGAGGAGGAGAAGCCGAACATAGAGCTACCCGCAGCAGTGAAGGAGGTGTTGGAGCAGTACAAGGATGTCATGCCAGACGACCTACCTACAAGAAAACCTCTAGCGCACACCTACGAGCACGAGATCGTGGAGGAACCAGGTGCAAAACCTGTCTCACGTGCACCATACCGGCTGAACCCAACAGAACTGACATACATGAAGAAGCAGCTAGAGTATCTACTGGACAGACAACTGATCCACCCATCCACCTCTCCCTATGGTGCACCAGTTCTCTTCACGTCTAAACAAGACGGCACTCTACGGATGTGCATTGACTACCGCGCATTATACAAACAGACAATAAAAAACAAATATGTCGCGCATAGACGACCTACTGAACCACCTGGGTGGTGCAACAGTCTTTTCGAAGCTGGAACTACAGTCATGTTACAGGAAGATCAAGATGGCGGACAACTCGATCCACAAGACGGTGTTCCGTACCAGATACGGCTCTTACGAATACTTGGTGATGTCGTTCGGACTCTGCAACGCACCAGCAATGTTTCATGCGGAAATGAATCACATCCTACGGCCCTTGCTGGACAACTGCGTCGTGGTGTACCTGGACGACATTCTCATCTACTCTAAGATCATGAAGGAGCACGTGGAGCATCTACGAAAGGTGTTTGAGATCCTGGGGAAAAATGAGTTCTACGTGAAGCTATCGAAGAGCGACTTTGCACTGAAGAAGGTGCAATTTCTCGGGCACATGGTCAGTGCGGAGGCGTACACGTGGACACACGGAAGATCGAAGCCGTCAAGAAGTGAAAAGTTCATGAGAACGTGAAGAAGTTGCAGCAGTTCCTAGGCTTCGCCAACTACTACAACACGTTCGTGCCGCAGTACTCTAAGATAGCAGCACCACTGACCAACCTAATGAAAAACGATACACCCTACAAATGGGATACCCCTCATCAGCAAGCCATGGAGCAGCTACAAATAGCACTGACCACAGCGCTATTACTCATCCTATAGGATCCAGACAAGGACTACGTGGTGGAACCAGACGCTAGTGACCACGCAGTCGGAGTAGTACTAATGCAGGATCACAAACGCGGTTTGCAGCCCATCACCTACCTCAGTAAGAAGTTACTCGGAGCAGAAGTGAACTACCCCATCTGTGACAAGGAAGCCTTAGCGATAGTCATAGCCTTCAAGGCGTGGAGGTGTTACCTAGAGGGAGCCAACACTACAGTTTACACTGACCACTGCAGTGTCAAATACCTGAAGTCACAGCCAACGCTCTTACGATGACAGGTGCGGTGGGTAGACTTCCTAGAAACCCGGGCTACATAACAAAGCAGACGCATTGAGCAGCCCCGGTCATCTTGTAGGCATCCAGCTTGACGGATTGAACCCTCTGCTCATTGGTCTATTCCAGCATGGGTAATCAGTGGACGCAGAGATTGCTACGGCAGAGAAACAGAAGCTGTTACAGTGGGAGATTGGCTTTAGCTGTTAGGAAGGGAAATACGGAAGATTTGGTTGCCGAACTATGCCCCGCTACGGCACATCCTTGTTTAGAAGTTTCATGACATACAATACGCGGGACATTACAAGACGTTAGTAGGGATAGCAGAGTACTACTACTGGCCCGGGATGGCAGCACACGTGCAGCAGTTCGTCACCTCATGCGAGACGTGCCAGCGGATGAAGAGTAGCAAGCAAAAAATAGCTTGGTTACTCCAACCTCTACCCGTACCAGAGCAGCCATGGCAGGTCGATAGTCTCGACTTCATTACGAGACTTCCTTCCTCTGATTTACGAAGGCATGACCCTATACTTGTGGTGATTGACAAATTCTCTAAAATGGGACGCTTCATCTTGACCAACGCCACAGCTACAGCTAATGCAACTGCTTGCCTCTTCTTCGACCGCATCATCACCATCCACGGCATCCCCGTTACACAAATCTCAGATAGAGACCCAAAATTCACGAGAAAGTTCTGGAAGGAGCTCATGTGACTGTTGGGGACAAATCTTGCAATGTCTTCAGCATGCTACCCCCTAACTAACGGACAGACAGAGAGACTCAACCAAGTGGTTGAACAGCTACTGCGCACAGCTTGCAAAGACGGCGTAAGCCACTGTGATCAAGAGTTACCTACCCTAGAGTTTGCTTACAACAACGCGTTACATGCGGCTACCGGGAAATCTCCTTTCGTCCTGTGCTACAGACAAGAACCACCTACGCCACAACAGCCAAATATTGCATAGGATCCGGTCACTTTGAAGACTTACGATGAAATCAAATCTCAGCTAAACACAAATCCGCTCAGTAGAATTGTGCATGCTGGTCTTAGCTACAATTTGCAAGTTGAGTCACTTGATTTCATGGTCTAGAGAGTGAGAACAAAATTAAAACGTATAGCTGGTGCTGTCACTAGCAAGGATGGAGGAAGAACAAACATAAAGCATAGAATAAAGAGTTGGGGGATTTCAAGAGAACCTTGCAAAGGAAGGCTCTCCAAATGCTATGGAAGGATGGTGGGAACCTTCATAGCATCAAAGATGCAACCCTCATAATGTGGTCCTTGAGGTGTCACATGCAAAATCCAATACAATTGGATTTTGCCTAGGTGTTGCAACATTTGCA